AAATCTGGCATTGGACCATAATAACTACATTTTCACCCACATAAAATATAATTGGATTTCTTTTGTTTTTCATGTCGTTTTTTCTTCTGTGTGTATTCCATGCGAAGTACTTTGCAATTATATTTTCCTTCCACATTTAAAGTATGTTCATAATGACTGGTAAATGGCTTGTTTATTGTCTGATACGTTAATGCACTCATTAAAAACAAAAGAAATCCAATTATATTTTATGTGGGTGAATATGTAGTTATTATGGTCAAATGCAAGATTTGATCCAATGTCATATTTCCTAAGATAAATCCAAGGAAAAAATTTAGGTGAAAAATCAATTTAAAACCATTACATTTTTAATGAATTATTAATTGGTTAGGTATTAATTATTCTGATTAATTATTATTATTAAACAAAAAATTGATAAGAAGCGATATTTGTTTTGCTTTTAGATAGTTTTAAATCGAAATTAAAAAGAATAATCAATAGAGCTTTTTCTTTTTTTTTGATGAATCGAAAATACTGAAGAAAGACAAATCAATTAGAGTATCGAGAGTGAGTATATGATGACGAGGAATAAGACTGATATAGAAAACGTAGCAATATTCTTCAGTAAATTATATAGTATTTGTTAGAAAATATTGTAAATTAAAAAGAACTGTTTTTACGATACTTCAAATAGTTTATTCTTCGTTCACTTCATCAAATACTAAAATTTCTTTTTCGTCTTATCGAAATTGAAATTCTAACTTTCACCTATACAAAATCGAAATTCCAATATTGTCTTGACAAGTTTGATAGGCATGCACTGAGTTCGATCCTTTCGGGTCTAGTCTTAAGTTCAATCACTTTCAATTATATTAATAAAATTAAGTAGAACTAAATCAAAAGGAAGGATTTCACCGTTGGCTATGATAGGTCTATACACAATATAATAAATGATCTAAAAACTGAAGGAATACAGTCATCCTATGAGAAATTCAACGATATTTAAAAATATCTGAACATCAAGATGAATTCATCACTGTCTGAACTGGACGAATAGAACCTGAACCCGAATTCAGGTTCGGTACATGTCTATGCATCACAGTACAACATTGACTAATTGAACTGATTTGGATCGTACAACTCCTTTTCGATGAGCTCACATTACTGAATAGCCTCATCTTATCCCATTGAACAAACTTCTAAGACCACCATTTCAGCTTACGGGTTTGAAATTGAACTCTTGTAAATCCAACTCATATGAAAAGAAACTTTCGTTTATTTCTAGCGAAACTGAACGATTTTCTTCGGTTTTTTCCTTACCAGTCCCCATAACACGAGTCGATCTCCAATCTTAGTAACCTCGTAACATCCCTGAGTCTTTTTCTTAACTACTGTAACGTTCAGTAAAGGAAAACCATATCAATCAAATAGTCAAGTCACGAATCCATGTTTTTATGCCTATGCTTCTAATATTCCTCTTTTTTTAAATCGTATTTGACAAAAGGCTAAAAAAAAGATATTTTTGTTTTTAGATTTTTTAAATACTATGGGAAACAAAACGAGTGGTAACGAAAAAAAAGATCCAGCTATTTTAACTGATGAAGATTTAAGAACACTAAAAATGAATACACAATATACAGAAGAAGAAATTCTAGCATGGCATTCGGGTTTTCTTAAAGATTGTCCAACAGGTAAACTTGATAAAAAACAATTTCTTAATGTTTATAGAGTATGTATTGAAATAAAAAAAATTAATTTCATATGTATATATTATTCAATAGAGATTCTATCCGGAAGGTAAAGCTGACAAATATTGTAATTTTGTATTCAAAGCATTTGACATAGACAATAATAATTGGATCGATTTTACAGAATTTTTGTATGAAAATTTATCTTTTTTTTTTTAAATTTTCAATATTTAAAAAAGAAATTTTCTATTTGAAGATTAGCTGTTGATGTATCTCAACATGGAAATCTTGAAGATAAATTAAAACTCGCTTTTGGTATTTATGGTAAATTATGAATTTTATTATATTTTTATATCAAAAAAAAAACCGGAAAATGTTTTTCTTTTCTTCTATAGATCAAAATAAAGATGGACAAATTAATCGAAAAGATATGGTTAAAATAATTGAAGCCATGTATGATTTAGCTAATGAAGAAGATCGAGCTGGTCTAAAATCACCCGAAAAACGTGTTGAACTTATAATGCATCGTTTAAATAAAGATAAAGATGGTTAATGAGTTTATTTTAGACTTTTAAATATGAAAATTTTATTTTTCTCATAAATAGATATTATTCTTCAAAATGAATTTATTCAAGGATGTCTTCGAGATGAATTATTACGTAAAATTCTTGCTCCAAATACAGCTACTTTACAAGAAGATCAAACAACAAATGCAAATCATGAACAGTAGATATATATATATATATATTTTCTTTTTACTGTTGCATGCATGTTTTTTCTAGAGTGCATGGTGCTTGTCTTCGTGTATTTGTAAATAATAGATAAAAAAAAAAAAAAAAAATTCAATACATATTTTAATTAATTAGCAATTTTTGTAGTCCTTTTTAAATGCCTCATTTTTCGTGTAAGTGTTGTATCAGAATAAATATCTGTCTTAATATTTTCTCAATATCAAGATTAAGATTCATCGTCAAGACTTGATTACTTTTTTTCTTCGAAAACATTTATGATTCAATTCTCTACAAGATTATTTAAATAATACTACGAGACTTCAACATGTCTAACTTTTACAAATTGTTATCCTTAACAATTCAGCAAATTTTTCTAGTTTTATAATTACATTATTATAATTGAGAACGTATTCGTATTGATCTGTCATTACTACTCAATAATTATTTAGTAAATTTTATTTCGAAACAATTCTATTGAT